TGTTCTAGGAAAAAGACAGAGAAGAGAATCAAAGGTAGTGATGTCTGTAGTAGAAGGAAGAGAAGAGGGAGCTTTTTGTTTATAATAGCTTTACAAAGCTTAGCACATAATATTTTAGTATTCCATATGGCAGTCTATTACAACAAAAGTGATCAGGAAATAATCAGTTGTTTGTTGAAAATACACATTATTTTCAATTATCTATTTATATCATAAAATATCTACATCCTTCCCTGAAATTTTATACTACAGTTCACATACCATTTTTCGTAACATGTTTCTAAATATTTTTTCTGAAATTTTATGTGTTTCACAACTTTTGCTTATTTCTGCAAAGCAATAAGATCTGATTTTTGTGGTTTTTTTTTTTTTTGCCAATTTAAATACTTTTTTCACTGGACGTAGGTGGTGGCTCACACCTATAATCCTGGCTACTCAGAAGGCTGGGATCTGAGAATCACAGTTCAAAGCCAGCCAGGGCAGAATAGAACATGAGACTTTTACCTCCAATAAACTATTCCAATAAAGCCGAAAGCTGCGCTGTGGCTCAAGTAGTAAAGCACTAACTAGCCTTGAGCACAAAAGGCTCAGGGACAGTACCCTGTCTCAGAACTAATATAAATAAATAAACAAATAAGCAAACAAATCTGTTTCCTTTCTAATTTTTTCATTAGAAAGACATAAAATCAATTCTAATGATTTCTTCAAAAGTCTATGTTCTACACATTACGTCAACTCATAATCAGGATAGCAAACTTCACAGAGAACTACTCAAGGTTCTAAGCCCTTTCGCATAGTGACATGCCTATAATCTTCCCAACAGTCAAAGGGTGATATACTTCTTGTCCTGGTTTTAGCAAAGGCTATTTTTAAAGTGTAGGCACAGCCTGCAAGTTTAATTGTGGATATATTATTCAAAGGAGTTTATTAAAAACCTTAGTGGAAATACTTGAGAAGGTAGCTACACACTTATACAGGGGACCAGAATGGTCTATGTTTAACAGTCTATAATTAAAATCGATGAATCATGTGAAATTAGATGAAATTTCATGTTAATTTAAAAGATATCAACACAGAGAGGAATGTAGACAGAAAAAAAAAAGAAGATCAAAGATTGTGATTTGAGGATCTCAAAAATGGAGGAGCCTGAAAAGTCAGATTGAAAAAAAACCTATTAAAAATTATGAAACTTGCTCCCCAATAAACTAAAGGAAAACTAGGAAAGGCAGGTGAACTAGTAAGACTTGAAGAAAAAGTTTTATAAAGACCAATTCTATTATATGTTACTGAGAAAGAAGGAAATGATCATTTAGAATTAAAATGTCAATTTATGTGGAAATGATCGGGGGAGGGATGGGGGAGGGAAAGTAGGAGAAACATGAAGGAGGGGGTAACAAGTTCGACAAGAAATGTACTTATTACCTCACGTATGTAATGGTAACCCCTCTGTATATCACCTTGACAATTAAAAAAAATAAAAAATATAAACAACAACAGTTTTGGTAAAATGAACACTATGAAAATCTAATGGGAATGGATGGGCTTACATAAAGATAGATACAGGAAAGTATTATGACCACATGTTCTGACTTTAATGTGAAATCCCACAAGATTATATGTTAAAAGCTTGATCCCCACCTGGTCCTGCTATTTTGGGAGGTGTTGGAAACTTTAGGAGGTTTGGCCTGGCTGAAGTAAGTCCATCACCCAGGTTTTCTTTTGAATTCTATCTGGTTCCCTGCCCTTTCTTGCTTCTCCCTCTCCCTCTCCCTCTCTCCCTTTCACCCTCTCTCCTTCTCTCTCTCTCCCTTTATCCCTCCTACCCTCTCTTCCCCCCCAACCTCTGTCTGTCTAATTCTTGGTTACCACCATATAAGTACTCTGCTGTTCTCTTCCACAGCACCTCAGGCCCCAATTATTGGAGCCAGCTGACCATGGACTGCAACATTTGAAAACTTGAGCCAACATAAATCCTTCCTCCTTTAAATTGTTTCTGTCAAGTATCTGTCACAGAAAGAAAAAAAATGTGACTACCTTTAATTCTCATAAATATTCATAACTCTATACGAGAATAAGGAAAGAAAGTAAATTGCTCACACTGGACCACCGTTCTTAGACTACACCTTAGTCATGGAACTATACTGTTTCCTTAGGCCTTGAAGCTTCTTTCATATATTATGCACAGTAGACTGTTTTTATTTTAGAGTCATTTCTCTCCCAGAAATACTCCATGTTGTATATGTTGAATTTTATTTCCGAGTCTCACCTTTTGTTTTTTTTTTCTTCCCAAACTGGCTAAGTGTTTATTAGTTTTAGAAAGGTTTCTATCTCTGATATAATTCTCAGCAAGAAGCCGGGCACTGGTGGTTCACACCTGTAATCCTAGATACTCAGGAGGCTGAGATCTGAGGATCATGGTTCAAAGCCAGCCCTGGCAGGAAAGTCTGTGAGACTCTTACAAACCACTAGAAAACCAGAAGTGATGCTGTGGCTCAAATGGGAGAGCATAGCCTTGAGCTGAAAAGCTGAGGGACAGCGTCCAGGCCCAGAGTTCAAGCCCCCCAAAATAATAATAATTCTCAGCAAGAAGCTAAATTTTCCCATTACATTAATATGGCAATGCAAAAAGAGAATTTTGCAATTCCCACTAAATGTAACTCAAAACTTATGCATTATTTAATTGTAATTGTATTAGCATTCTTTTTTTTTGCAAACAGCAAAAGAGTCATTTATTTGCAAGCTCGAGCTTGGTCCTCCTCACATTCGGTAACGGGTGATGCTAACAGGCCCCGAGCAGATAATCAGCACATCTTTTATAGCATTTAACAAACAAGTTTAGGAGATTTCCACTCAAGCAGTTACATGATTGGTCAACATTTATAAAGATTGCATAGTCATTTTTTATTGGTCCATGTACCGAGGTTTGAGTCCACCCTAACCGTACTGTTCTTTTTCTGAACTGTTGGTCCATGTTTGACGGTTCGATGATTGCAAAACCGTTATGTTGTGTTCCTGGAACCCTTGGGCAATTGTTCTGCTTCTTTTTTTTTTTATTGTGAAAATACTGTACAGAGGAGTTACAATTACATGGACAAGATAATGAGTACATTTCTTATCAAGCATTGTTGCCTCCTCCTTTGTTTCCCCTTCCCATCCTTTCCCATCCTCCCCCCATCCCCCCACCCCTCTGTCCCGCCCCCCCTCCACAAGAAAGTTGTAAAGTTCGTTTTCAACAACGACTTGTACATCTCATTGTTGCAATGGGTCTACCTGTATCCCTATTTAAACGATTTGTTTTGGGGGAAAGTTTTTGTATTTGTACTATTATTCTTAACACTATATGCAAAAGAAAATATAGAAAAATATATTATATTTGTCATTAATGTAATGTAATTTATGAGCCAGGCACCAGTAGCTGAGACCAATCATCCTAGCTACTCCTTTTGGCTGCTATGTGGCATCTCAAGTTTCAGGTCATTAGTTGATCAACATGAAAAAATAAACTATCAGAATCCCAACAAATCATGAACTGAAGGCGTAGTGGAAAGATTTTAAAGTGAGGCCATTTTAATTCACTAAATTAGTGATATTTACATACAAAACCTAATCAATATTTCACAGAAAAAAAAGACTACACAAAGCACTATATTTGGGTAGTCAATTGTATCAACAAGTTTCCAATCATTAAGGTGTACCTGATATATACCCAGAAAGTATGCAGGGATGTAACCTTGCCTGATGTTTGGACAAGCTGAGTCAAACCAGTGAGAAACACGACTCTTAGGAGCAAGTATTTCCAGTCACAGTTACTCAATTGCTTTTCCATTTCTATGTGACTTTTTTGCTGCCTATGATAAATGATAAAATGTGCTCGTAAGCCATTTCAAGATGAGAAACTGCAAGGAAAATTTTTATGTTTGTTTTTAATTTAAAATGAAACCAAGTGAAGAAAATGAAGAAGCAAAAACGGAAGACGCTCTTTAATGCATTTTGCCAAATTTCCCACAAAATGAACTCTGCAGCTTTGCTGCAGAACTACAAAATGCTTGCAAAAATGTCATGAAAATACAATTAGTATTAGGGAAATGACAAAAGGCTTCTGTATATGGTCAGTAGTTACATAAGTAATTTTTTTCTCTCAGTGAGAAAATAATCTTAGGTTTTTCTTGTTAATAGGTGGAATAATTTTTATTGCATTAACAGAAAAAGAGTTCTAGTTCACTGATGACAAACTGGCACCCAGAGCACTTGATGTAGACTCTTTGGGGTTACACTTCAGTAGTTAAGTACCAGTAACATGAATATTATCTCTACCCTGGGAACATGTAACCAAGATCCACTGGAAAGCTACTATTGGTTTTATTCTGTTATGTATCTAACTCCCCTGTGAAGACTGCCATATCCAGGCTGAGTGGTGTTATGTTCAACAGCTAAGCTCTGCCTACATGTTTAAGGTGAGTGTAGGTCAGGTTTGTTGTGACAGTCAAGTCATGTCCAAATGAACCTGGACACAGAGTGCATCTTCATGTCCTACACAGATGAAAACTATTCAATTTTATTTTGGAATCGCCACATTTGAATACATAGGTGAAGTTCTGGTTTTCATATTTCATACCTACCATCACTTTAAAACTTGGAAAATGTTCATTTACCTAGTGCAACAATGTTAGGTATACACAGGAGGAGCCAACTCAGTCTCTGTGGAGTGAAAGATGCATTGCTAAGAAGGATTGAGAATTTATCAAAAATGATGGCCAACAGATACAGAAAGATATATGTCTCTGAACAGAAGATGGTTTTGAAAAGGCTTAAAGGCATTATTTTCTTTATGCATTTTTATCGTTATGATAAAGGTGATGTACAGAGGGGTTGCAGTTTTTTAAGTTAGATAAAGAGTTCATTTCTTTTTTTTTTTTTTTTTTTGCTTTTACATCAACTTTATTCTAAAGAGCATCCTGTGTGAGTAAACAAACCCTCACAGTGCCAACTGCTGTAGGAATCATATCCTTTCTTACATGTAACAAAATCTCATATCAGCAAGGGGTTCTGGGTTGCATAAGAGGATTTACTGTTTACACCCGTCTGTAAGGCTTTGTTACAAATTAAACACACACAAGTGCTCTAAGAGTACATTTCTTTTTTGGGCAATGTCACTCCTTCCCTCATTCTCTCACAGTTTTTTCCTTCTGGTCTCCACCCAGTAGTTTTATAGTTTATTTTCAACATATTGTCCAGTGAGTACCACTGATAGATTTTTTTTGGTCACATTTGCCACTCCATTTCTGTATTCCCCAAACTCCCTACAAATAATAAACCAACAAGATATATGGAAAAGAAAACAAAAACAACAATAAAGAAAAAAATTCATGTTTCCATTTCCTGGAGTTTATTTTGATAAATATTATTTTATATGATCAGATGTACATAGGTATTGCACTTTTGTGTTCCTCTCCTAAGTATAGCCTCGTTTGGTCTCACCATGTGTGAATTCCTAGAGACGTGTATTTAAATTGACCTAAGATATTACAAAAATTCAACTCTAGGAACATACAACACTGACATGGGACCTGTTTTCAGTTGATAAAAATATTTTATATTATTAGATCTTTATGACATTTCTGCACAGCAAACATGGTGCATTTTGTTTTGCCAAATTGGAAAATGAGAATGTTGAACTTTAGTTAAATGTCTTGAATAACATCATCCAGAAGTAAAGAATTAGTGTTGGAGTAAAGGCTTACACAATATCCTATTTTTATAAAATGAACCTATTCTCTATTTTTTTCTTCTTTTCCACATTTCAATAAAGAACCAAAGACATATTATTCTGGTCCACTGGCCTTAAATATTCTGACTAATTCAGACTGAAAAAATGTTGAAACCACAGACTGCCCTACTGTAACAACTATAAATTGAAAACAGAAAAAAAAAAAGCCAAAGAACTATGCCATTATTTGAACCAATGTAGAATAGGAGCTCAAGGTGAACTCTAGAAGATCTTGAGAGAGACTCAGCAAGGTCATGCTGATAAATTGAAATGGATATGACTTGTAACTACTAATAAATCATAGTAATTTCTTTAGAACCTACTGTCCCGGCCTCTCTGAACCCAGAGGTAATGGGCATATTATTCACATACCTGATTAATAATTTTGAAATTTTTTATATAACTCCAAAAGGCTTATTGAGTCAGAGTTCAAAGGATATATTCTATTTGGGTCATTAATTGCATGTGCAAGCTCTTGCTATCTCTCTCTTTTTTTTCTCTCCCTAATGGGCTAAGAGAAATAAAGAAATGAATATGGGGTATAAAATATATGGTACTTTTGCTTTCATATTCTATTTTCCAAATAAACATTGGCTATTAACATTTCTTTTCAGATTTATGCTTTCTTCATTTCTACAAGTACTTGTGTATGCTGAAGTCCATTTTGAAATGTACAGTTGTGTATACATAGATCTTCTACATACATAAATACCTTATTTACTGGAAATGGCATGGTTTATAGACTAATAGAATGAGTGATGTAAGTAGGCTGCTTAGGATTCCATCACTGATTGTCCAGTTCCTCTCTGAAATCTTGGCTGGCTTTGAACCATAATACTCAGATCTCAGTTCATTAGCAGCAGCTAGGACAGCAATTATGCCTTGTGATACTCAGCTCATAGTTGTTTGATTACAAAACATATAAGCTAATAATATAAGCATTAATATAAAAGTGAATTGGATAGCCTGGTGTCGGTGGCTCACTCCTGTAATCCCAGCTACTCAGGAGGCTAAGATCTGAGGATCATGATTCAAAACCAGCCCTGGCAGGAAAGTCCTTGAGACTCTTACCTCCAATAAAAACCACTAGAAAACTGGAAGTGGTGCTCTGGCTCAAGCGGTAGAGCACTCGCCTTGAGCTGAAGAGTGCAGAGACAGCGCCCAAGCCCAGAGTTCAAGCCCCACAACAGACCAAAAACTAAAATGTGAATTGGAAAACACCGTTACTTATTAAGACACATTCATAAGGAGAAACTTGGAACACATATGGATGCTCATTTTATGCATTTAAAAAAATCTACAACCTACAAGTCTACAAAACGTAAATGAACTTGGAAAGCACAATCTCCATAGATGAAAATTCATAACATGAATTTAAAATGCCTTTAAAGACAGGAACACAGTGTAAAAGTGCTACACATGGATGAACACACACACACACACACACACACACACACAAAACAGACATCACATAGACATCTGTACAAATACATTTACTTCCATAATTGCAGAGTTACTTAAATACTTATTCAAAACAGTACATAAATAAATTACAACTCTTTCTATCCAATTTTTTTTTCTGCAAGAACCAGAACCTGAACCTTGAGCTAAAGTATCCAAGTTGTGGTTTCTTTGTTAAGATTTTTTTTAACCTGAGCTTACTTATTTAGAGCTGTAAGTGTGAGTTCTAAAAGGTTTTGAATAAGTTCAATTCATAACTTTTCACTCAAATCATTACGTGTTCCTACTAATGTACTAATTAGGAATAACAGAGCATGCTTTGCTACTCTTCACTTCAGACTTCTACCAAGATGTGATTATGAAGGTCTAGATTTGCCTGGCTGAATGAGAATACTTTTATCAGAATATCTGGGGGAGGCACATAAAAATAAATTACTCTTCTGCACAGAATTGAAAGTACAAAATGCATGATAATGGCTAAATTAAGTGGAAATCTTACATATACAGGTTCTTGCTCCAAGGATGTTAAGATCTGCCACTTACTTTTTAAACTGATACTAGCATCTTACATTTTTGTTTGTTTTCTTCTTATCTGTAATGTCTGCATCACCAGTCAATATTAAACATTGATATAATTGTGAACTTAATAAATGTTAAAAAAAAAACTAGATAATCCTCTGGCCAACTACAAAGTTTACATAATATCTTGGTTTTAGGTGTGTACAAAATAAATATCATAGAATAAACTGAAATGTTTAAAGTAGGCTTATTTTTGGAAGGTGAAAGGTGAAAAACACTATCTCTAACATTCATTTATTTATTTACTGATTCATTTAATGCCTGTTTACTAAGAACAAGGCACTAATTTCAGAGCCGGGAAGCATATTAGAGAGAACAAAGCCCTTTGGATCCACAGTATAATGGACAAGAACAAAATCTAATATTTTTAATACTTCACTCAAAGGGTTAAGCATTATTTTAAATCCTTGTTACACTTAAAAGACAGCTACTAACATACCCTTTAACAGTTGGCAAAAAACAAACAAACAATATAGCCTTGTATGTAATGCAATTTTTCCCTCCCTCTTTCCCTCTCTCCCTCCTTCTTTCATTCCTTCCTTCCTTCCTTCCATACTTTGTTTCTTTTATTCTCTTTCTTTCTTTATGCTTTTTTATTTTCTTTTGCCAGGACTAAGGCTTGAACTCAGGGTCTGGGCACTGTTCCTGAGCTTCTTTTGTTCAAAGCTAGCATTCTACCACTTGAGCTACAGAGCTACTTCCAGCTTTTTCTGTTTATGTGGTACTGAGGAATTGATCCCAGGACTTCATGCATGCTAGACAAGCACTCTACCACTAAGCATATGATATAATTTTCAATAGGGATGCAATCAAAATTTGTAAAGGGACACAGTATTTGACAATATGGTAAATGTTACATGAAGAATCAGTCTTTAGGAAGGAGACATTAAATGCTAAAATAAACTTTCCTGGGCATGGTGTTACATGCTTGTAATCACAGCACTTAGGGGAGTAAGGCAAGAGATTGCAAGTTTGTGGACAGCCTAATCTAAGCATCAAATTTTTCTAAAATAATAAAATAAAACAAACATGAATTATTATTGTTATGCTAAATTTTCTGTAGTTAGCAGTAAAAAAACAAACAAACAAACAACTAAACAACTTGAAAGTGAGACATGGTGTCCTCGGGGAAAAAAAATATTAAGCATTGTTTATCTGCTGCCCATAGAACATTGTTTTCAATGTTAAATATTACAGAAGACAGGCACTGGTGCCTCATACCTGTAACACTAAAATCTCAAGAGGATGGGATCTGAGGACTCTGATTCAAAACCAGCCAAGCAGATATACTTAAAAGACTTTTAACTCCAATTAGAGCATAAAACCATAAGTGCTCACATGGCTTAAATAGGAGAGCTACATTTTGATTAAAAACTAATCAAAGCAGGGGCTGGGAAGGTGGTTCAGTGGTAGAGTGCTTGCCTTGCATGCATGAGGCCCTGGGTTTGATTCCTCAGCACCACATAAGCAGAAAAAGCTGGAAGTGGAGCTTTGGCTCAAGTGGTAGGGCACTAGCCTTGTGCTGAAGAGCTGAGGGACAGTGCCCAGGCTGAGTTCAGGCCCCATGACTGGAGAAAAAACAATAACAAACAAAACAAAACAAAACAAAAAAAAACCCTAATCAAAGCAATACCATGAGGCTTTGAGTTCAAAGTCCCAACATGGACACAAAGAAACAAATAAATAGATTAATCACAGGGGGAAGGAATCCTGCATTTGACAGAAAATATTTTGAAGTAACAAAAGTCTATTATTAAGCTTCTGTACTTTGTAATATTCTCATATACATATATATATATATATATATATATATATATATATATATAAGATAGTGCTACTAATTTTATACATTTGCAACCAGCAACTTTTCATGAAAAACACTGTTCAATCATGATATTTTCTTAAGCACTACAAATAAGATAAATATTTTAAATTACTTAATTTAAATCCATATACCATAAATAACTTCCTAACACTTAACATCTAAACTCAAAATTTTTCTTCTGACAATAAATGAAAACCATGGTTTAAAATAATAGTGTTAACTTTTTAAATCCTGGATTTTAAACTTTCATTTTGGTTTTATAACATTGGAATTGACTGCAGATTTCTCTATTCTTTAAAAAAGACATAGCTAATTGCTGTAGTAAAAGACACAGGAGTAATTTATTTTAGTAATAAATCGCTGAATAGTAAAACATAGATTTATCAGAGTGTGATATCTTCTAGAATATGAAGCACTGCCTAATAAAAGAAAAGGGTATGAACATGATTTACTTAGGTATTTAAATTCATTATTATATCTATCATATAT